AGATCGACCACCCGTTGCATTCATAATTTGTGTTATTATTCTACTAATTTTATTTGGATTAAATGGATTTTTATTTGCATTAGGTTTTGAATATTCGACATATGATCATAGTATAGGAAAAATACAAACCATAGTAGCATGTTATTACTCATTGAGCACTGAACTCAATAATTTCTTTACTGTTCAATATGCATTGGTAAGTATTACACTGCATCTATATATATAATTTAAATTAGTATTTATTTTCATGTAAAGATTCATCTCGTGATCATGTATTTTCTGCCGTTTACTATAATAGTTGCATGTACATTTCTTACAATAAAAAAGCTGATTTTTAAACCAATATCTCCAAATGATCAATTAGCAATGAGTGCTCGTCGTAACCGTCGCATTTCACTAATGTTGTTAATGATGTGTTTGACGTATGCTGTTTGTACTGTACCTAATCGTTTATGTTTTTCCATTTTTGCAAATCAAATTATTGGACATGACTATACCGACACAGTATTTCTTGCTACAAATACATTAATGTATACAAGAAATGCGATGAATGCCTTATTTCTTTATATATCCGTCCATAGATTTAAACAATATATACGTAAAATCGTATTAGAATGTCTTGGTAAACGACCACATCCAGTAGAACCAAGAAATAATACAATGACAAGAGATTATGTGGCTGTAATAAAGACGTTTTAAACACAATTCGAAATGGAAACCAATAATTTTCTACAGTAATAAATTAATCATTCTTCATATTCTCTTACAAAACAATCAAAGAACTAAATAAATTCTCTGTCAATATCATTTATTATAGTATTAAAAATTTAGTTTATATTGTGGTTGTAAAATTGTTGTTTACTTATAAAACAATGCATATTTATCTATCTTCATTTATCTAAAATTTTCTGTAGAAAAAAAAACAATGAATAAAATAAAAGATCGGCAAGTTGCAATATAATCAAAGTACTATGAATTTTAAATAAGATCTTTGATCTCATGAAATTTCGAAAAAATGACATGTATAGACACTCTCATGTGCTTATGGAACTTTAATTAGGGAAGCTATATGCATTCTTTAATTCGTTGCGACGAGATCAGATCTATTGATTGTCATGTTGAAACAAACGCTAAAATACAATGTTGCATATATATTTAAAAAATCAGAAATACTCTATTGTCTCTTTTTACTGTTTAAACAACATATCTGCAGCTTAGTATGTGGTCAACAATTGTTGAGTCATTATGAACGTAAGCCAGATGCTGACTATAAAAAGAAAGAAATATTCAGCTGAAAAAAGAATTTTTAGAATAGAAAAACTTGATTATCTTGAAGTAAAAATAGATTGTGGACGATCCAAACAATTGCGTCTCTATATTAAGTAACATTTTTCCTAAACAAAAGAAGTACTGTTTATAGTCGGTACGCACAATACAGTATCCTACGAAAGACTTGTATCTGTAACCTACTGTTTGCTTTGATTCCTTGATCATCCTTATATTTCTATTATTTTATTTCGAATACTTTTGAAATTCTTCTGTAAAGAAGCTGAGGGCAGTGAATTAATTGATCTACTGAACTGAAACTAATATTTCCCTTAAATCTCATACAATACACAAAAGATCGATGTTTTTACTTATGTCCAACTTGTTCTGAAATTATCTTGTCATAATTTTCTTCAAAACACTTTAATATTGGAACGCAATTTTTCTTTTCTTTTTTTTTTTTGAAAAGAAAGCCCACAACACACTCTATCCGAATATGTAATCCCAATTTTAAAGTTTCGGTAGATATTCCTATAATTTAGAAAATTTCAGACTTGGCTGGATCACTCTGGTAATAGAAACGATGCACCAAAGTTAAGAGTAATGCATTAATAAAAAGAATTCCGTCGTAGACTTTTTTTACGTGAAAATGTTAAGGTTTTCTTGCTTGAAAAAAAAAGGTTATCTTTAGATTGAGCTTATCATCATTCGATCAACTATGTTTTAGTTATAACTTGACTTACATTATGATATTAAAATCGAAGTTTTGGTTTGCTTCGTTCGTTGGCAATTAATATTTTTTTTTCTGGTGTTAGCATTATTATAGATGTATCAAGTGATCTAAGCAAAATCTTTTTGATTTTTTCGAGATTTCATTTAGTAAAAAAAAATGTTTTGTAAATCTCTTGACCTATATTGGACGAGTTTCATAAGCAAACTTAAAGTTTATCATTGTTCTTTTAATTCTTAGCTGAAACATTTGATTTAGTTTCGACGCGTGAACGATTACCCGAACAAATGCCTTACTCTATATTATTGTCTAGTAAATTTACACTGATAAACTATAACAGATCAAATAGATAATTGAGTTTATGTTTTATCCTTCAATGTCTGACTTTTTTTAAATTTGATAGTGCTTATTTATTGAAAAATTTTCAGTTTATGTAAAATTTTATGGCATCTTTTACATTTTAGCAAAATATCCTAATAAAATGTTTTCACCATTTATCGTCATTTGTAGTTCGAATATTGGAGTAATTAAGTAGATTCTAGTCTTTTAAATTTTGTACTGACAAAGACAACCTTCTATAAAGAGTAAAATTGATAGTTTTGTTTTATTCTTCTCTAGATTAGATCAATCAATTAATTCAGTAATCAGGCGACTCAATCACCTCAGAAGACACTAGTGCAGAATTTAAGGCTTGCATCTGCTCTCAACGGATGAAATTAGAAATACAGTTATTTACTGACGTTTTCCTCCAGCTATATTTTCGTCTTTTTTTGTATATTACACGTTTGAAAAATTAGTTGCTTGATAAAAACTAACACACATCGATGACAATTTTATGTCTACTCAGCAATGAATGTTATCCGCAAACACTTCATCTACGTACGTGAGAACCTAATTTGAATATGAGATAGTGAATCTGAACGATGAGCAATATTTCCTCCCGAAAATAAACCTACGGATGATCAAGGTAGATTAATAATATGAGTCATGTTCAATTTTCAGAAATTCATGTTTCATTTCTGTTCTTCCTTGCGTCTTATGCATTCTTCTTCGACAGACAGCTGTTCTTTTTTCACTTTTTCTTGCACTTTCTATTCTTCTGTTACTTCTAATCTATTCAAATGTATGATCCTAATACTTTGGAGGAGATAAGCGGGGAACATCTTAAATGTATATATATTGTATTCTGAATATATCATCTATTCGTGTAAATTCTTGTTAACCATATTGCAAACAATAAATTGTCGATATGTATAAAAATGCACATCTTATTGAACATTTTCTTTGTCGTATTGATAAGAAATATTCGGCAGTTTTTGACTTTCTCAGTGTATTATAATGAAAATCAACACTATTCGAAAAGTAGTCTTATTAAACAAATATCTCGATGACTTCATCAATCGATACTTCAATCGTGTCTTTTCCAGCTTAACAGTTGATCAACCAATGAGTGCATACAATGTCAATGTGATACACAAAAGAATCATCTGTTGTTGAAAGAATGAAATACCAATGATTAGTTTTAATCAGGCATTGACACAGGGAAGAGCTGCTCCGTTGCCAAGCTACCCTGTCATGTTTCTTTACAGGGCAAGGTAAAAGGTTTTGCTTTACTGAAATTTTTATGTAGTCTTCATCGAGTAACATCTTATTGATAATAGTCGTCACAAAAATTGAACGAATATTTTAAACTCATTCATTTTTGCTCTTTTTGATTTTTCGTTTTCTGATTCTTCTATTCAATCGGTATTATTCCATGTGAGTACTTGTTGGTAATAAAAACAAACATTGAAATTTCAATAAAAATGCTGAACAAACGTTTGGTGTCAAGATAGTATACAACGAATAGATAAGAAATTGAAATGCGAAGCGCGATAAAATTACTTCATATATGACGAAAACAATTAAATATCTGTCATGATCCGGAGAAGACCTCTTGAACACATTTCCTACATAGTGTAGTGCTTTCGAAGAACCTTGTCACTGTGCCTACTAACATATATGGTAGAGAGGATCCCACTATTTCGTTGTGAACTTGGTCATCAACGACAGTTATATTCGGTCAAAAATATACAACAAGACTTTTTCATCAATCAGTCAGCTTCCCATGAATCGACGAATTAGTGCCATCTCTATTCTATAGGGCGTCAAGTCCTGCCGAGTAGAAAAGTACACAAGGTTCTTTTTTTGGGCACTATTCTGTCCTTCTGCATGACAGAGTGGGACGAAAATGCGCTGTGATGGTGTATCGTTTCAATATATCAATGCTCGTCAATTTCATATATTGTTCACTGTTGACAGATTTCTACCAAAACTCATTTTCTGTGACAACAATATACTCAATCACTGATTGCTGAAAACAAAGCTCAGTTTTACATTCAAAAACTTTAAATGTAATGTTCAACAGATATCGTCAAACTCTGAAATAACAATTAGTAAATTTAAAATAGAAATAAAATTATTCATTATGACTATCTGTTCAAACCATGCGAATTACCTTTATACAAGAAAATTCGTGTGATGTGAAAAATATGATCGGACTATTTACATGCATTCTTATACAATTATGTTTCTTTGTCTTTATCCCTCGTGTGTTATTTATTATGTTTCCTTTGTCCTACTATTACATTGGTGTATAATTGATTGTCGATAAGCCCGTCTCACTGGCATGCGTTCTCATGT